GTTAATATCATTATTATTACCCTTAACATTACTATCATTATCATTGTTGTTTTTATTATTATCATTATTATTATTACTACTACTATTATTATCATTACCGTTGTTATCGCCATTATTATTATTATCATTGTCATTATCATCATAATTATTATTATTACTATTATCCTTGTAATTATTATTATCATTAATTTTATTATCATTGCTGTTGTTACTGTTCTTGTTCTGGGTGTTGTTCTTGCTGTTATTACTAATGCTATTATCATCTTTATTATAATTCTTATCATCATCATCACCAATGCCATTCTTTCTGTCTGTAATGATAATAATAATTATCAATATCATTATTACTAATATTATAATCAATATTGTTATTATTAACACTATTCTTACCATCACTTTTATAATCATTGTTATTACTATTATTATATTTAGTACTATTAGTATTATTATGATTTCAACGACAGCCACAACAACTGCTACTAACTACTATTACAATTCGACGAGATTTCATTCATGCGTCTATGTTAATTTCTCTGTGTTGCGAGGACGGCCTTTTGAACTTCCGTAATCAAATGTCCATCTAATTGTCACGTCTCAGTCCATCCGCTGCCGACGAGGAGATAAAGCTCTCCGTCTGTCAACACTAACTGAGGTTGATTCAATTTCTTTCTCCTTTTAAACTTTCGTGAGAGTTTTTTCCATTTCGAGTTGTAGGCTTCTTTTTACTCCTGTGCTGTCTCACTCTTTCGGTCTATCTGTTTATTTATTTGTAAATCTCTCTTTCTTTCTTTCTCTCTCTTTGTCTTTGTCTTTGTCTCTCTCTCTCTCTCTCTTTCTTTCTCTCTCTTTTTTCCTGTCTCTCTCTTCATTATTTACTTCTTTCTCTTTTCTTTTCATTTTACTTTTTATGTTCTTATTTTTCTTCTCCTCCCTTTCTTTGTTTTCCTTTTATTTTTCTTTCTTTTCTCTCCCTCCCAACCTTCCAGCCCGCCCACTCATAACATCCTCATCCCCCTATCCACCTTGCCCTCCCATCAGCCCCCCACCTTACCCCTACCATACATTCTCACCTCCTTCCCCCTATCCCCCACGCACCCTCTTCCTTCCCCTGTAGTAACGAACCCCTCCCTTTTCCCTCCCTGTAGTAACGACCCCCCCCCTTTCCCTCCCCAAAATCAACGCCACCTCCCCCTCCCCTCCCCCCTCCCCATCATTCTTCACAACCCCGCCCCTTCGGCCTCCATCATCCTAGCGTCTATCCCCCCCACCCCCCGCCTCCCTCTGCCTCTCCATCCCCTTTCCTTTGATGCCAAAGTGTCGCGTAACTCAGTAATGCTCTCTTGGCCTCTCTGGGTCACTGTCCACAAGCTTCTCTCTCTCTACGTCGGTCTGTATTTCTTTGTCGCGCCTTTTCTCTCTTTGCTTCCCCCTTCCCCCCTTTCGATCTTTGTGTTTGCGTATGTCTGTTTCGGTTTGATTCTTTCTTTCTCTCTGTCTCTTTGACTCTCTCTCTGTCTCTTTGACTCTCTCTCTCTCTCTCTCTCTCTCTCTCTCTCTCTCTCTCTCTCTCTCTCTCTCTCTCTCTCTCTCTCTCTCTCTCTCTCTCTCTCTCTCTCTCTCCATCTATCTCTCTTTCATTCTCTCTCTCTCTCTTTCTCGCTCTCACCCTCTTGGTAGTCACTCGCTCCTTGTCGTTCTTGGATCGACGCCATTTTCCCTCATTTTACATCGGGGAGATTCACATGGATTGGGTTCCATTTCGGTCACATGTTGTAGGGAGGGAGAGTTTCACACGGATTGGGTTCCTCTTCGGTCACATGCTGGAGGGAGAGTTTCACACGGATTGAGTTCCTCTTCGGTCACATGCTGGAGGGAGAGTTTCACACGTGCACAGGAACCGCGAGGGAATGTTATTGGAATGGTTAAAATGGCAATGATGAGAACGGTAACTATGATTATAAGTTTGATAATGATTCGATAATTATGATAATGGGGATGATAGTGACTATTTTAGTAATAATATCAATATCGAGAATTACAAAATTGATAATGAAAGGGATAATCATAGTAACAGTGATGACATCGATAATCAGAAGGGCGACAATATTGATAGTGATGATTATAGAAACAATAGTAATGATAATGATAATTATAATAATGTTGATAATGACAACGATAGTATCTTCTATATGCATTAACAGAGATGGAGAAGAGAACGGTGGTTTTTTAAACTTTAATGATTATTGCAGTAACTTTAGCAATAATAATCATTGTAATTGTGATAATAACGAGCGATAATGGTATTGATAAAAGTTATTGTGGCAATGGCGATAATGACTGTGATAAACACGACAATAGTGATGGTGATTGATATACTAATCATGATGATAGAAAAGATTGTAAAAAACTTTATAGTACTATTAGTAGAGTCATTGGTATGCCTTTTATGAAAAAAATACTTATATAAGTGATGGGGTATTATCAGTGATAGTAATAAATATTGAAGTAATAAATAATGCCAAAAAACTGTGCGACGAGTAATTTCAGTATCTAATGAGAATTACGATCATACTGGCAAAGCAACTACAATAACGATATCATTAAAGCGATGAGGATAATAATCATCAGTTAATCGATGATAGTAATAATGATATGACAACAGACGATAATAAAAAATTAATAGCGATAATAAAAAAGGCGATGGTAATAATGAAGCTGCTATTGAATAATAAAATACATTGTTGATAAGAATAATATAGAAAGAAAATAGCGTTAAACTTGCACCTACATTGCAAAAACAAAAATCTATTTCCTATTTTGCACTTAATACAAAGTCTTTACTTAAGCATCCTACAGATTTTCTTTTCCTCTTCTTCTTCTCCTCCTCTTCTCTTTTTTTTCTCTTCCATTACTCTCCCCGACTTGAGATAGTTGGAAGTGAGGGAAAAATATTTAAGTATTTGAGCCTCTTAAATAAGGCCAAGCCGCCGTGAACCGCTCAGGCGAGGGTCAGAGCGTAAGGCAATTTTCGCGTGTCTTTGAGGGCAGCGGAATACACTTGTCGGGGACTCCGCACTGAAATATATCCTCTTGCACTTAAATTCACGAAAATGATAAATACACAGATGCTTACAAATACACGTACGAACATATGAACAAACAAACACAAAAACATACACAGTTTTAAATATGGATATACTGGAAAATAGATTGAAGCCATCACGTGATTGCTAATATTCTTTTATTCATCGAAGTAAACGCGAAACCTATAAGTATAGGGAAATTATGCCATTAGTGTCCTTTTCTCCTTCAAGGAAAAGGTTCAATTCTTTTGGCATTTTCTAAGTGTTCAAAACGTGTTCAAAACGAACGTTTTATATTTTTCGATTTTTCGATTTCTACGTTTCTCTTTTATTTTGCTTTTTTTATCTATTTATTTTTGTTGCGTTTTCTTTCCCATTTTTCTTTTTCCGATTTCCTGTATGATTGCAAAAATCTGGAGTAACTGAGTTAAAAAAAAAAAAATCTCTCTCTCTCTCTCTCTCTCTCTCTCTCTCTCTCTCTCTCTCTCTCTCTCTCTCTCTCTCTCTCTCTCTCTCTCTCTCTCTCTTCTTCTCTTATCCTTTCTCATCTCTCTCTTTTTCCTTTATTTGTTATCGTATGTTTTCTGTTTTTCAGTCTTTTGTGTTCTGTCTTCTATTCTATTCTTCTGTTTCTGTCTTGTATTATCTTCATTTCTCTCTCTTCTTGTCTGTCTTTTCATCTTTCTTCTCTCTATCCTCTTCCGTATTCTACCTTCTCTTCTCGTCGATTCGCTCTCCTTTATTCTACATTCTCCTATATTTTCCCTCTCCTCTCTCCTACACTCTCCGCTCTTTTCTCTTCTCTGTTCTCCCTTCTCTTCTCATTTTCCTCTTCTCCCTTCCCTCTTCTCTCTTCTCCCTTCTCTTCCCATTTTTATCTTCTCCCTTTCCTCTTCTCTTCTCCCTTTCCTCTTCTCTTCTCCCTTCTCTTCTCTTCGCTTTGCTCTCTCGATTTCCTTCCGCTCGGCCTTTCAGGGCAATCACCGCCGTCCTTTCCGCCGCTTTACTCATCTCTTATTCATCGAATCCGCTCTCTCTATCTCCCTTTCTCCCTCACTCCTCCTCTCTCTCTCTCTCTCTCTCTCTCTCTCTCTCTCTCTCTCTCTCTCTCTCTCTCTCTCTCTCTCTCTCTCTCTCTCTCTCTCTCTCTCTCTCTCTCTCTCTCTCTCTCTCTCTCTCTCTCTCTCTCTCTCTTCTCTCTCTCTCTCTCTCCCTCTCTCTCTCTTCCTCTCTCTCTCTCTCTCTCTCTCTCTTAGTTATTTCCTTCCGTTTCCCTCCTCTTTCTCTTTCTCCTTCTTGCCTCCCTGCATCTATCTCCCCTCTTTTTTTTCTTGATTCCTTGACCCTTCTTCCCTCTTTCCCTTACTTTCCCTCCCTCTTTCTCTCTTTCCTTTCTTCTTTCCCGCACTTTTTTCTCCGTCTCTCCATCCCTTCTTTTCTCCTTCTATCGCTTCTATCTTCCCTCTTTTCTTATTTCCTTCCCTTTTTCCATCTCTCCATCTTCCTTTCTCTCCCTCTTTCTCTACGGGATTATTCGCCTTCTCTCTCCTCCTTCTTCCCTTTTTCCCTCCCTTATTTTTCCTCTCCATCTTTCCCTCCCTTATTTCCTCTCTCCTTTTTTCCTCCCCCCCCCCTCTTTTGCTCTCTCTCCTTTCCTTCCTCCCCTCCCCTCCGTCTTCCTTCCATCCTCCTTTCACTACGGAATTACTTACCTTCTCTCTCTCCCTTCATTCTTACCCTCTTTCCTTCCCTTATTTCCCCTCTCCATCTTTCCCTCCTCTCTTCTATTTTCCCTCCTCTCCGCCCCCCCCTCTTTCCCTCTCTCCTTTCTTTCCTCCCCTCCCCTCCGTCTTCCTTCCTCTCTTCCTTTCTCTAGGGGATTACTCATTCTCTCTCTCTCTCTCCCTCTCCCCCCAG